GTATGCGCATTCTTTACGCGCATGCGTAAAGAATACAAAAAAACAGTCTGTGGCTTTGAGGTCCAGATTATAGATCATTCCAGATTATGGACTTTGTACTTTATTACCAATTAAATATTGACTGAATCTTTACATAAAGTTCTATAAATGTCAGCAGTAGCTTAAACCAGTTCAGGACACATAAAATTTAATAATAATAATAATAATAATAATAATAATAAAAATCATTAGAAATGGAGGAGTGAAATTTCCACAATTAAAATATTAATTCAAAAAATTTCATTTATTGCTGAAAAACACTTACTTTATTAGAGGTTAAAATTTAAAAATCAGGAGAGTTAGCTTGGCATCATTACCCATTTTATGTACAAATGAAAATATACATTATTCCATTTGACTTCTGGAATTTGAAATGCAATTTTATTTTGTGTTATACATAGCCTGCTTCATCAAGTAGTAACAAGCATAGAAAATCACAAATAAGAATTAAAAAGAAACTATTAATTTCATAAATGATAAAATGTACATCATACTTTCAAGTAAGCAAAATTTATTCAACAGAATTCATGTTCAAGCATACATATCTGTATCATATGTGTAAATTTATGTTTATATATAAAGTATTAATTGCTATAAATAAACAAAAGTAGTGCATGTGCAATGCACAATTATGCAAACATATTTTATGGATTGTGCACATGCATATTTGTATAAAGATTATACATGTGCTTGTGTTTGTACGCACATACGAACACAAGCACATGTATAATCTTTCTGAAATTTTAATTTCATTTTTTATCATTATGAAATTTTAATTTCAAACTTTATTTCCCTAATGTCTCTTTTCAACTTAAATTATAGTCAATTTCCACCATATTCTGAAAAGAACAAATGAAATATTTCTTTCTTTTCTCTATGTATCTGAAAAGGAATTTCTCTCAATTCAAAATTCCCGTAATTTTCATATTTATTATTTTGATCTGATTTGCAAAAATAGTAGTTATTAAGCTGAAGACAAATCGAATTTTGATTTATTCAAATAAAAAAAAAGTAATAATAATTTAATACTTGTTTTTACAGCTAAAGCCAAACTAATACATTTACATAAATGCATACAGCTGATTTCTGGTAATAAAAGATGCATGAAGCCAACAGCAAGAAGGAAATTACTCTGACCTCCTTATATGGCAAAACATTCTTTGTGTACAGTTGCTAAAAGTAAGGATCACTGCCAGACAAAAGTCTTCCTCATTTAGTGAAGTGCTTTTTCTAAGTTTTATTTCTTACTTATTTTTATATATAATTTACAGTTAATTAATTACAGTTATTTTTATATATAAATTACAGCTTACTTTCTGCAGTTCATATACTTTTTAAACAACAGAAATAGAAATGGAATTTTGTTTTACTGAAACATTAAATGGTGGATAGTTCCCTCCTTTCCAATGTAATATGCATAGCTTTTATAAAACAGTATAATTCAAAGGCTAAAATAATTTTTTTTAAAAATTTCTTCACAATTACATACATCACCACCTTTGCTGAGCATAAAAGTCAAAGTCTGTATGGAATCCACTTTTATTACTGATATTATTAAACATAAATTCATTATATAAAATATTTATTAAACATAAATTCATGTCATCAATAAAATTAAAAATATATTATATGGAAAACTATTAGACTAAATTAAAATTTATTAATTTCCATCACCTTTATTTAGCACATACATAAATTTTAATTTTTTAAAAAATTTAATAGCTTCCAATAATGATATAGAGATGTTATATTTGCATGTATCTTTTTGGGACTATGTATTAGTTAATGTAATATTGTCTTTTCTTCATCCCAGACAATTATGATTTCATAGAACAGTAATGGCCTGTATCTAGGTCAAAAAAAAATATTTTTATTGATCAAATTTATGTTAATTTTCATATTATCTACCATATTAGGATTTTCTTCATACACTAATTTGAAATTAATACCTAACAGTCTTGAAATAACTAGTATCTATTATTTAGGACATTTAAAAGATTGATTATCAGGTACTCAACTAACTGAAAAACTCAGTAACATAAAGTAACCAGAATATTTTAGAAACTTCTTTTCCCCATGAAAAGTAAGCAGATGAGAGACTAGTAGAACCATTATAAAGCATATGGTAATCATAAGATCTTCACCTTGGTTTGAAGTAAGTCAGACAAAATTTTTGATAAGCTGGTTTAATTTTTGTAAAGAAGTATATAAATTAATTTCTACTTATCATCTTTTCCTTGCATTTAGGGGGGGGATTAAACTTGGCACCTGCCTTGTACAGAACAGCATGCAGTGAAGTACTGAAGGTGTCTATATACTTTTAGAAAGATTTCCATAAAGAATTTTAAAAAAGCAAATGTTCGAGTATAAAAATTTGTGGCAACAGTAGTTTGTTATTTGAAATTAGAATAATTGTCTGCTAATTTTAAATTTATTCTTCTTTCAAAATGTTGCATGTAAACAAACTGTAGATTGAAGGATATGTTTTTGCACTTTCCAAAGAGTAATATTTCTATTCTGTATTTCAAAAATGGTATTACAGTTTCTAAGGGCAAAATACACAACATTATTAACTGGAAAGAGAAAAACTAACTTCTACATGGAAAGAAGACTCCAAACAAACACCTCCTAAAACATATGTACTATTTGTACTATGTAAACTACTGGCAACAAAAGAAAATCTCCCAATACAGAAATCAGAAGAGTCTTTTAATACATCTATTAGTAATAATAATAAAATAATGAACTAACTTAAAAAAGCTAAAAAAACAATGTTCACCAGCTTTTGCCAAAGCATGATGTGGGTAAACACAGAACAATCAGTAGAATCATGTCTAAAAACTATTTATCAAGAGATAAATGGAAATATATTGTGATCCTTGATGAAGCACAGGATTACCTAAATGATTGTAATAAGAAAAGATCTATTTATTATCAAAAATGAAAAGGAAAAAAAAGTACAAAACCAGTTCTGTCAATGCAGAGAAATTTTCAATACGGGGTTTATGATTGTCATAGGATTCTCTTACAATGGGAAATTAAAAATAAGAAAATTGGGATTTCCCCCCTTTTTCAGCTCAATGTACTATTCTGAGAAGTCCTCTGATATTTCACCTATGGTCTACTGTACCTTTAGTCTCTTGGAAAAAAAGCTCTTAAGCACAAACCCATGGTGACTGACAGACTGAAAATTAGTAGAAGAGGAATGGAAATCAATACCCCTGGAAATTTTTTATGAAAAGCTCTTCTATCATGGCAATCGCAATGCAGTCCAGAAAAAATGGCTATCTGATTAAACCTTTAAAAAATGAATTAAATAGCCCTGAAATCGTTCTAAAAGTATGTGAACATTCTTTGTATTTTAGAAGTTGTGAGATTCTAGTATCAAGAAAAGTGTGCATTGATGGAAATATGCAGTGTTATTTGAAAACAGAAAAACAATCCAACATGAAAAATTATAAGTGATTTAAATAACCTGTGTCTACTGGTTATTTCACTAAATAAATAACAACCTGTCCTTTATCACTGGAATGATTGGTAATGTCACCAATATTCATGGTCGATAGGATTTAATAATTGGGTAAGATATTTTACTTTTGTATGCTTAAGGCCTAAGAAATATGTCAGCTTTGATGTATGAAATGCATTTTTATATCCAAAATCTTACATAATTTTATAAATAGGCTTTTGATATTCAAGTTGATAAATAAGATAACTTTTAATAATTTTAGATTGAAAATTTCTTACAGTAATTTGCATAGCTGCTAACTTTCCTAGTTTTACCAGGAGACTAGTATCTCCTGGTTTTTAATTTTTAGCCTTTAGGAAGGAAAGTGTTTTTCAGCAATAAATGAAACTTATGTTGTGCAAATTCCATCCCCCCATCAACAATAATTTTCAGCATAATTTTTCATATTAAAATTTGTTTCACATGAAATGATGTAATCTACTCTGGACATTTGTAGAACTTTTTATGAGGATTCAACCAATGTTTAACCAAATATTTTAGCATTTGGCTAAAAATTAAATATTTATCTAAGTTTATTATATATCTAAAGTTAAATATTTTAGCATTTGGCTTTATTTTTCCTGAGAATCAAGTTTTCTTCTCTATTGATAAGACTGAAATTAAAGTACACACTTTAGAATTCAAGAAATATACATTATGCTTAAAAATTATGTAATAAACTAACATCCTGTTTATTTTTAAAATACTGAAATTCTAACAATTGCACATTCTAGCAAACAAAATTTCATTATGCTGACATCCAAGCTCATATACTGAAAGACTAATTTTACAATGAGTATCAAAAGTTTTACACATACCCAAAATGAGTTATTCCTGATTTTTAATTCAAACAAGTTTAAAATACATTGTTTGTGCCAAGGAATGAACTTTATTTGAGAGCTGTATTTTTAATTATTCCCTCTCTTCTACAAATTTTGAAACATAAATTCTAATTAAAGCTTTTTTTTTGTATAATTTGATGCATTTACACAAAATATTGTTCTTTTCTTTATGACGCATCTCTTAATTTTGAATTTAAAGTTTCACTTATTAGTAATCATTGCACAATTTTGTATTCACAACAAATGTAGCATTTTTTTTTTTTTTTGCACTACAGTTTAAAATTTTCAGAATTCTCAGTTGACTGTTATTTTTTAGTAAAATTTGTATTTCTTTACATTTCGGAGGAGGAGAAAATGAATTTTTTTAAAAGAAATAACTATTTCACTTCATTTTGGACAATAAAAATATTTATAAATTAAAAAGAAGGAGACTTTTTGATTTTTCAATATATGATTTAGTAATAATTTAATTTTTAATCATAAAAAACATGAAAATTTAAATTAAACAGACCCATGCTCAGTAACTATTTTATACTATAAATGACATCTGATAATAAACAATTATAAGTACCATCACAACAGCATTAAACAATAGGCAATGAAACATCAAATTGTGCTAAGATCATTTATTGACAAATTTTTATACATAAAAACACACCACTATATATAGCATAAATAGATTATGTACAAACATTTCATAAAAATAATTTAATTATTCAATAGTATTTTTTAAATGTTTTATTTACAATGAAAAGCCCTTAAATAAAATCTGTCCAAAGATGAATTACAAAAGATATTTGTCAAAATATAACATTGAATGCATAAAAAAATTTATAAACTTATTAAGTAAATATGTAAAAATTAAGATATATGTAGTGAGTTAAAATACATTTAATAAAATTTATGAAATGTAATACTTTAAATTTACACTAACATTCTAACAGCCTTATTTTTTTAAATTAGAAATTTTCAATGACAGGCAATTCTTGAGTTTTTCAAATTCAGAATGCCAATGTTTGTCAATACTGAAAAACAAAGGGGAAAAGATTATGGTTACTTTATTAACATGAAACACACTTCATATCAAAATACACTGAAAATAAATTTCTTGAAACAACAACTGCTCTATGCAATAAAATTATTTCCCAATGCGTGCAAAATACATGAAACTAACACATTAGTCATTGAAAAATCAACAGTTTAAGCAATATCTTGACTATTATGTTGTATGATTTCTTTTTATTTCTTCAGGCCAACTTTCATTTACAACACAGATTTGCATAACATATACCTTGTAGTTATTTTAATGACTTTTTTTAAAATAAAATATCCTGGATATGGGCAACTGCAAAATATTTTCAGAAGAAGAAAGGGAGATGAGACAAATTATAGATTACAGTGGTGCAAAAATAAAAAAAAATATGTACTGTATACATAATTTATATGCATCAATAGATAAACACACTTTTTATTAAATTCTAGAGATCCTGGATTTTCATTTCTAAAATATGATAACCCTAGTCCCACATATAAAGCATATCTGAGTGTTGCTCTGACGACTGATTACATTCTGTTGTCTCTCTACGCCAACTGCTTCCTTCGACCATAATTCACCCATTCCTGCCAATGACATCGAATAGTGGAATATCTCCTATCCCAATGTCGAGAGATTCGCAGATAAGAATAACTGACTTCTTTGAGCCCAACTACATGTCCTCTCTCAAATGCTGACATTTGCACATATTGCTTGCGCACCTTTATCCAACACATAGTTACTATCTATCCGAGTACATGGAATGAAATTCTCAAAGAATTTGACTTGGAATCAATATTTCTCCTCTTTAATACTCTGCCAGTTGTGCAGTTAAGAAGTACTGCAGCATCACATGCTCATTCATCAATCACCAAACTTTAAAATTTTGCATGTTCCATCGAAACCTGTATGCATACCAATTTGTGTCCAATTTTCATTACTCGTTCTTGGTGCATCTTTTTTTTTTTGGGGGGGGCGTATTTAACAGTAAGTTGAAAGCAACACAAAATGGTGCTAATGATAAAACAGCACATGTTCATTTCAGTTGAGTGTTATGCAAAGCACAGTTCATAGAAATTTATATTCAGGTAGAGCCGCTATGCATACCTCAATGATAAATTGAGCACAGCAACTGCATTGATGTCAGCAGTGGCAATTTGCAGTAAAGAACAGTTCTGCTATTAATTTATAAGGGATAAATTTAGAGTCAGAATTATCCACATTTTCTGGGGCAGTTTTATTTCGGCCACCCTGAGATAGATAGATGTTAGAGATAGATGATGCGCTCCAGCAAAAACGGAATAGCAGTTCTTTAATAGTTCATGGAGAGCTGTTGTTGGGAAGTGTGCCAAAAAATTTAATTCCTCTTAATGTAAACACTAGCATTCTTTACTTCGTTATTTACCTGAAACATCTCTGATCTATTTTTTATGTGTGTAATGTATGTATACATGTGTGCTTTTGGCTTGCTTTTGTTCCATCTAGTAACTATTTAAAAAACAAAACATGAAATAAACCTATGCATCTCAGTGAAACTGACCACTGCTGTTTGCAAATGGATGGGTCCCCCCCCCCATCTGGCAGCGCAAAGATCTGTTTAAAGTACACAGATTATAGGAAATAGTTTCTTGGGTTCCCAGCTGTTGGCATTTCGGCACTAGTTGTAGATCTGGGTTGTGATTATCTGCTTCTGCTCTAGCCTCAAACCTGGTTGTGGAGCCTTGATTGCTGTTTTCACTTCCTTGGAGTTTCATTTTGATTCTTTGAATACTGTATCATAATATAACTATGTATATTAGGTTTTACCTTTTTTATACAATATTACTCTAATATTTATGTAAAATAATAAATTATATTCCGATTTATTTACCTATTTTACTAACATCTTAATTAAAGAGCTGTGAATTTTTCTTTAATGTTTTTTTTTTTTCAAGGTTGCAGAACGAAATGTGGATCCTACCGAAAAGAAGAACCTCGAGTGATATTTGGTATCATTTTGTTAAATTAGATAAAAAAAGAGAAAACGCCTGTTTGTCAGCAGACAATTTCCTGTTCTCTGGGATCTGCCCCCAATCTAAAAATTTATTTTTTTTTCACTGTGTTTTGTAGTAGCAACAAAATACAATTATAGTAATGAAATAGTGTAATCTTTAACAAAAGCGAGTTTAGTTTTCAATATTTTTTAGCTTTTAGGACTTTTTTATTCCAGAATTTTATTGTTGTTATATGTAGAAAGGTTTTTTTTTTTTTTTTTTTTTTTAAAGGAAATTTCAAAAGTATAGTTGAAAGAATTCAGTTCAGGTAGTGTGAGCGGTTTGATTGAGTTGATTCCAGCAATCCTACTCCTTGTTCAATTTTTTCTGCTTTTTCCCCCATCTTTGGAAACCACTCTTGACTTAACCTGTTCGGAACATACTCATCAAGGTCATTGTTAGTGAGCGGTGAATTGTTAAAGAAGCAGTTTTGTCTATCTCTACCCTGAACTACTTGCCTGCAAAGTTTCAGGTTTCTAGATTTGTGGACTTGTAGATACTTTCAACAGGATATCAGAACCAATTATTTTAGCCCCTTCCCCAAATGCTGAAAATCTGATTATAAAATGAATGTTTATTAATTAATAAGATAACTAAAATTAGTGCAAGTTTAGGTGACCTTGGTAATTACGACTTTTTGTGAATTTATGGGCTATGTAACTTAAATTAATTTTCTTAATTATGATAATAGATGAATTTTGATATTTTATATTTTTTCAAAAGAAGCTTAATTTAATACATTTGGAATGTGCATGTAGGGGTTGTCAGAATGATAATATCTTTAAATTTTGATTACTTCGAAAATTATAAATTCACCTTTCGATGGAAAGTGATATAAAGTTACACTTTTTTAAAGCAATTAATTAGGAAATTTTTAATTGCAAAAATTTATTCAGACTGATTGAAAATATTTGAGGAAGGGGAGGAACCTCATCATAAAGTGATATAATTACACCTTTTTTTAAAGCAATTAGGTTGCAAATATTTAACTGAAAACATATTTTTTGATAAAGATCTTTCATTTCATGGTGTGTTTTATAACAATGTAAATTTCCTATATTTCAGAATTTTATAACCAGATAAATTTAAAATTAGCAACTTTCTACAATGTTTTAAAGTTATATTAATGATAATGCTAGTTTTCATAAATAAACATTATTTTTATAGTTCAGATTTTTGTTACAGCTTTTACTTTTGTTAAAAAAGCTATAATTTCAGTAATTACCTTAAATCTTTTATCACCTCATCCTCTTCAATTAGTTTGTTATTCTGCTCATCTTCTTCAAAAACATTCCTCAATTTAGTTGTTTCTACAGTTTCTGATTCTTTTATAGGATACCATTTCAAAAGAAGTTTTTCCAGTTCTCCTACTGTTACAGCTAATGTTCTGATAGCACCTTTTGATAAACCTGTAAAATATAACCCAGTCATTTTTTTCCCTACTAAGAAAGATATTTTAAAAAAGTAAGATCATATGAAAGTAATATAAAGTTACACTTTTTTAAAGGAATTAATTAGGAAATTTTTAATTCCAAACATTTATTTAGACTGACTGAAAATGTTTGAGGAAGGGGAGGAAACTCATTATGAAGTGATATAATTACACATTTTTTAAAGCAATTAGGTTGCAAATATTTAATTGAAAACATTTATTTTGATAAAGATCTTTGGTTTCAAGTGTTTTGTAACAATGTAAATTTCCTATATATATATTAAAAAAAAAAAAAAAAAAAAAAAAAAAAGAGAGAGAGAGAGAGAGAAAATAAATGATTACCTTTAATTCGAAAAATATTGAAGAGAATTACACAACATGCAATCCATAACTGAAAATCGTCATCTGGAGATTCTTTATCTTCCACTGATTTTATACACCAGTAACACAATTCTTTTAGAAAAGTCCTGCAGAAAAATATTACAGTACTAATGTAAACTAATTGCATACAGTATATATATTAAAACCACTTTTTGTAAAAACCTGTTTTGATAAGTAATTCAAACTTATAGCTAAAAGAACTGGGCTATATCTTTTTGTTTTTTAATAATGAAATGAGTATTTAAAATTTTGTAAATAAACTCTGAATGTAATAAAATAATTGATCACATAACCAAAACTCATCACAGGAATTAAAGTACTTGCTTTTGACATGAAATTAAATTTTAAAATATAAAAAGAAACCAGTTAATGTTTCGAAAACAGAATTGTATTTTAAGCAAAGAAAGGTCAGAACGGATAAATTGCTAATATGCAAGAGTGGCATAATAACTGGTACTAATTATTATGCCAGTTATAAAATTGGTAATAACCAATTATTACTAATAGGTACTTACATATAAATGCTCTTAGTAGAAGTAGTCAAACTCTGGTAACCATGCACTACTATTTAGTTCGAACAAGCAATGTTGCCATTTTCATACGTGTTCTATTTGCTGTATTACAGGCTCCAATAGTTTTTAATGGCAAATTATGATATTTTTGTCTTAAATTCAATTTTAAAATATGTGCCAGTAGTACTACAACGAAAGCAAATTAACTGCAGTAAAATTTCTGCAAGACTACAATATACCAAACTCTCCTTAAGAAGAACAAAATTTCCTCGCAACAATACACATAATCTTACAAGAAATTTATCGGTTAACATGAATCTCGGTTATAAGAAATTTTGAATTGTTTTCTAGTTCATTGCACCATTAGATATTTTTTCCTACAAACTTTTAAAACTATTCATATATTTTTTTCTGTTCTGTTGTTTTTCTGTTAGGCTTCTCTAATAGGTTCTGAGTTCAGAAAGGTTCTGTCACATTTAATTCAAAATCTCATAGAATATGCTGTATTCTTTAAAACACAGCGAGCACAAGTAAGCTCAGCTATCACAATCATGGCATCAACAGTAAGCTTCAATAAACAAATGAAATTCTGCCTTCAGATGTGCTTTTTTATTCTTTAAAAGTTAGTTCGTACGACTAATGTTCAATCTTGAATAATTATTAATTAAGACATTGGAAACCCTTTTATTAATTTTGAGGAGTTGTTAGTGCAGATGATAATGCTGTGTGTGTTTTAGTGAAATCAATTGTATTTGAAGTGCAAGAAATGCCATCAGAAGAAAGCGAGGAGGGCAATATCATTCCACCCACCTGACAAGAAGTGTTACATGCCTTGGACAGTTTAGAACATTTTGCTGTAACATCATAATTGACCACTAGTTTAACGGATGTCATAAATACAGTTGGTCATGAAGTTATCAGGCATTTTCCTTTCCCATCTGCCACAGTGCAATTCATAGGAATTTTTCAACAGAAAATGAAGAGTACATTTTCAAGTTATAGTAGAGCAAGGGTTCTCAACCGGTGGTATGCAAAGAAGCAAAGTATTTTGAATTATTAAATTTAAAATTTAAAACTCAAACATCCTGATAGAGTTTTTCCTCTAAAACTCATAAATTTATGCGATCTGAGCTTTGTTCAAGAGTGGTTGTGGTAGTAGTACTTTGTAATGGTGGTACTAAAGGTTTTTAATTTTTGTTTAGATGGTACGCCTTAGTCAAAAAATTGAGAGCCGCTGCAGTAGAGTAATTAATGTAATACTGTAGTATTTTCTATGACTTCATATATTGTTGTAGTTATATATATATATACCTATATACCATAAATAATAATGTGTAGAAAAAAACTATTCTGAAAATAAAATTTGAACTCTCAGTTAAGATGAATTTTTTAAACATCTCTTACATCTGATGATGTTATATTTTGTAAAACAGCCTTTTTGGAAATGCAGTGTGAAAAGTTGTAATGAACATGTCAGGATCACATTTATTTACTGCTACAGCAAAGAATTAACCAGTATTAAATTCTGCTATGAAGAGTTAGAAAGAGCCAACAAGACTGTGATAGACTGGAATAATTACATGCGAGAAATCCGAGTTCTCGATAAAGTGGCTGAAGAACAAAAAATGATTAGTGGAAAAATCTAATCACTAAAATAGACTAAAATCTGTGATGGATTCTGAGGGAAATCTGCTGGGAAATAAAAGAAACTTTCTTAGTAACAATCCTAATAGAAGTGCAGCAACATGCATAGATGAAAAAAAGAATTTTTTGCAATTATAAATCATTCTTTTTCTTTCCCCTGTACAAAATCACCAAACTGCACCAAAGTGATTGTGTTGATATATTAAGTATTTAATAATGTTATGTGTATTTATTTCTATTTTAGCTGTCTTCTTGGCTAACTTTATGGTGGTTAATAAAATCAGCTGTCAAGCACTGAGCTCAGTTTCTAACCCTGAAGAAGCTTGTATGTTTATGTGTACAGTATCTTTGTAGCATCACAGCCAAAAAAGTATTATCGAGAAGTTGAAGGCAGAGGCAAAGAGGTAGAAGACCCCTAGAATCCAACGCCTATTAAAATTGAACTGAAGGATGGCATAAACCACTAGCATCCAAGACCGATAATTCATGAAGCATTAAGAAATAAATTTGCTGATTTAAAACACTTTTAAGCATGAAATTAATTATTTTCTAAACTCGAGGAAGCAATTTCTAAACAAAAAGAGATTAACAAAATTTTAGTAAGGTAAAACATATTGTTAACATGTTGCTAGCTTAAGAAGGATTAATCGCTTTTAGATAATAAAATTTTGCACCTAAAGGTTTAGAAATTATTGTATTTAAAATGATCTTGCATGAACACTATTTACACAAAAACACATACAGGTGTGTGTGTATATACTTGTATATATATATATACATATATTGTTGTGTTCTGCATGGGTTCATGGAATTGGAGTGATTAATGGCAACACTTGATGAAGAATGAAAACACAATTTATTTAGCCACAATTTATTCAGGACAGTTCCAAAATCGCGTTTACAGTCGTCGAAAAACTATGATAAGCACGCTGAAACAATCAGCAACACAGCTTTCAGGCTATAACGATGAAGATAGCTTCATGGCAAAGCACCAGAGTACAACTCCTGACTCGGTCAGTCGTTCTCGGAACTCTACATACTATCGAGATTCTTCACACTACAACTCGCGATGCACTCAATAGTCCCAATGATGCGCATTCTTCGATGCACCAACTTGCGATACACTTAACACAAGACTGATGATCAAGTCAACAGACTCTGATGAAACACACGCTACTCCATGTACCAGCAGGGTTTATATTGGTTTCGGCTTGCATTTGAGAACATTCTGGGCCAAACTGCTAAGAATTCATTCCAGAAGGTTCTCCATCAATCTATGGCACATTACCAGTTTTGTCACCAAATGTGCAATTTCATGCCAAATCTGGCAACCATGCCTCTCCTTACCATTTTATGGCAACCACAAACCCACCTTGGGGGGAAGCTATTTTATTGCGTGGTGGACATTTCGTAACAATAAATATATGTATATTACAATATTTTATTATTTAACATATCATTATATTTATTATCCTTGTTATTGAAGTGGCAACGTTATATTTGTATCACATAACCGTTGCTCGGCAACGTCAGAGATTGTTTAAAATTGTTATTCTGAAAGTTTTATCAGTTAGTAGATGTATGAAAATTTTGTAACTAAATGATTGTATTCAAATAATCTATCTCCGTAAACTAAAAATAAAATTTATGGTTTACTTAGATCATCTGTTATTTTGATAAAAACTGCAAAATACATTTAGTCTTATAAAATTGGAGGTTCCACCGAGATCCTAAAAATTAGGAATGCAATTATCAATTTTGATGGTGCTGGTCTCCTAATCCCAGAAAAATGCTGAAATATTTGAGAAAAAGTTTGCTAGTACCAACTAGAGTTTGTTTATTTCAAGGAGAAAGGGATGTCAGAAGTCTGCCGTTTTAAAGCGGATCATTCAAATAATATCTTCTGTGTTTCTATAACTTGTGTCCGAGCAAAGAATTGTCAGAACAGGATATTGCTGATCTCTGAAGATAAGATTAACTTTTGGTTTCATAAAAAGAAGTTTATTGAATTTAAGTATTTCATTTCAAAATAATATTTAAATAGTGTAAGTTTTTGTTTAAAAGGGTTCAGGGTTTGTACACATTTCTGCACATGGAAATTAAGTACTTTTAAGGACCATTAACGAATAAAATTTAAGGACCTATGAGCAAATGGGAACTGAATAAATTCAATTAAAAATATTATCTATACCTGAATTTCACTTTTATAATACCATACTAAAAATAAAATAAATCCCTCAGTAGTATGCATTAAATATTTTAAACTTATAATTGATATGTGTAAGCCATCCTGGCATTTATATATATATAAAAGAAAAGGAACTGCTAGCTGTGTTTTAAAATTTGTTGTTTGTTGCCAAGCAGGCACGTGGAAAATAAGTAGCAATGTCACACTGACGTAGTGCGATTTGATTATACTACCAAACTGGCAAAAGTCTTTTCTTAGTTCTTACCATCCAGGCGTGTGGTAGATAGTAACATCATCCCGGCATATTACAGATAAATTCAGGGTTCGTACACATTTCTGGGCACGGAAATTAAGTACTTTTTAATTAATGAAATTAATTAAGGACCTATGAGCGAATGGGAACTGAATAAATTCAATTCAAAATATTATCTATGCCTAAACTTCACTTTTGTAATACCATCCTAAAAATAAAATAGATCCGTAAGTAGGATGCATTATTATTAAACATGACTTAATTAACATAATTATTATTAAGTCTGAGAATAAAATATATGAAATTTATCAAGGAGCATTATATATTTTTACACTTATAAGAACTGAACATATTTGAAAGGAGATAAGTGACATTTTATTTACGTTTTACTAACAGTTAGTTTTATGTTGATTTTATTTTATACCCTATTTTGTCACATACTTGCTCAGTCTAAAGCTTTAGTAAATAGTAAGCAGATTTTATGTCAAG